AAAAAAAGAACAACAACAGATAAAACATAAACACACACAAAACTTACTTACTTTACTTTACTTTATCCGTCCTCTTGTACCTCTAGGGCGTCGAGGGGAGAAATAGCTTCCTGTCTCTAGCAAGTTTGATGGCCTGCCTGGCTGGGTGGGATATTGTATGTTCTCAGGGTGTCCATCACAACCATGATCCAGGTCTTTCTTGGTCTTCCTCTTGACTTGTACCCTGATACTTTCCTGTAGTAGGCTTTACTGGCAAGCTGGTTAGGTGTCACACTTGTCAAATGTCCAAACCACCTGATTGTTGCCTTTTCCCACCATTTCTCTGATCTTGTTGTTTCTGACCATGTCCCTTCTGGTTTTGTTGACGGCTCTTCTTAGACATCTCATCTCGCAGGTGAGTATCTTACGTTCCAGACTTTTGGTCAGGGTCCATGTCTGGCACTGGTAGGTCAATGTGGCGATGAATATAGAGGAGCTTGGCTTTGGTCTCAATGGGGATGTTAAGATGTTTGAGGAGTGGGACAAGCTGGTAGCTGACGCTGTCAGCACCAAAATAAAGTAATACCCCTCTCCCCCCCAACAAAAACAACAACCAAAAACAAAAATCAAAATCAAAAGAACCCAGAAAAGACTATTTATGAAATTTCCAGATAACCCACAGTCATGGGCAAGGCTAATATTCTGAAAAAAAAAAAGGTTTTGACCATCAAAGTTCATAAAACAAGTACAACTCATTATGCTAGCTTTGATGAATCGCCTAGTACCTGCCTTTCCAAGTCAGACGTCCGTTTGGAAATTCGGTATAAATTATCCCTGCATTGAGAGAAAGTAAACTAAATAGTCTCCAGTTTTGTAACTTTTCAACCCAGGGTTTTCTAATGAGACATGTCAGTAAATTTAAAAGTCGCTAAAAATTAAACTAAGTCACCCTTGGTTTCTAATGAGACTTCTCGGTACTTCGAAAGTTACTAAAAGTAACATAAGTGGTCTCTAATGAGACCTCTCAGTACTGCGAAAGCTACTAAAAGTAAAATGAAGTCATTCTTGGTTTCTAATGTTATTTCTCGGAACTGCCAAAGTCACTTAAGGTAACATCAGGTGATCCATGGTTTCTAATGAGACTTCTCAGTATTGCCTCTCTGGTTTCTAATGCTATTTCTCGGTACTGCGAAAGTCACTAAAAGTAAAATGAAGTCCTCCCTTTCGGGAAACAAATCAATTGTTATTCCAGATCTATGCTGGAGCTTGGCTCCTCACGACCCTGGCCGGACGCTTTGGAGCAACTGACCGGAAGTCGCAGAGTAGACGCGTCTGCTCTGTTGGAATATTTCCAGCCGTTGCACGATTACCTACGGAAAGAAAACGGAAATGATTACGGATGGGACCCCATATGCCCGAGATCTGTGCAGAGAAAGACTTCAAGCTGCTCAGCGTGCAAGAAGTGTCCACCTGGCACTGCTGGGATTAAACCAAGTATCACTTATCAAGAAGTGTTGATCCTTAGTTTGGTGTCGTTGATCATTGGTTCTTACTTATGTGACTCGCGAAATTGAGCCTGTTTGGATTGCAATTATTTTATGAGATACCCCCCTTTTTTTAAAGGCTTGATTGGAGAGTTTCTAACTACGTAGAAACGTTGCTTGTTATTTGGAAAAAGTTTTTAAATCGCGTATTAGATTATGACTGCGTTGTCAGAACCAAATAATGTATGTATATTACATGTATGTTATATTCAACGTTGTTGTACTTCTAAGAACCAAAACAAGTGTCAAACTGCATGTATTATATTCTACACGAATGCATGTTTATGATTTTTCAAAATATGTGTATTTTGGACAATAAAATACCAATTTCTTTCTGTTCGAATTGTATTCTGTTCTGCGACCCTGTTTAAAAAGAGGATTGGTAAAGTTAATTATTTTGTCGACAAAGTGTGTGTGTCCGTCGAGATACAAGCAGAGATACGATTGAGTTCAGATCAATAAAGAAAGACAAGGGTAGAGGAGTAAAATCTGAAAAAGCCAGTGCCTTTTTCGTTTTTTTTAACGTTAGGCATCGCGGTGAAATCAGACGCTCTTCACAATAGTGAAATCAAAGAAACCGCAATTTTTCTTGATTTTGGATGATTTTTTTTGGGGGGTGGGAATTCTAATATTTTTTTGTTGGCTCATCTTCTTTTATGTCTTTTAAAAACACATGTATGTGAGGATTTTTCAAAAACCAGAAAATCGTGAATGAAAGGCACAAACATGTAAAGTAGCAGTTTTGGGGACACTGAAGCTTTTGAAGTCACGGAACTTTGGTGGCTATTTTTGTGTGCGTTAATTTTACCTGAGACACCAGGCTACCCCAACCTCCCTCCTTCAATCACACAGTGCTTGACTTCTATTCAAGATAGATGGGTATTTTTTTTTTCAAAATAGAAGACATGTGGACAAGCTT